ACATTAATTTCTCTATTTCGCTTTCACTCAAAACAGTATGCATCATCACATCATACATCTAACATGGAAGTCATAAATAATTTGTGATTTGCATGGAAGTGCACACCGCACTCAATCAGTTTTTATCTTCTATTGATGTATTTTCAATGTATCTGATGCCATCTGCTCTTTTTCTTTTGAAATCAAACAATACCAGCATTTGGCTTCATGTTGAATGATTTTTACATCAATAAAGAAATACAACATAAATATATACAATCTTCATAAAAATGTGCGATCAATTTTTTCAATGAGAGTAAAAAAAAAATACCCTTTTGGTTCTTATTAGATGAACATATTGTGTTTTTAGATCGACGGAACCTTTTTAATAGGAAATGAAGCTCTTGAATATCCATTACAATTAATTCAACATTAAATAAACAATAGCATCCATTTATAAACATCAAACAGATAATACCGCACATGCCTCTCTATCTCGACTGCAATATGTGACGATACTCCCTAAACCAATTACCCAATCCAGCTGAATGACCCTCTCCGTTCAACATTATCTCACCAAACTCATTAGAGTTAACTAATAAACAGTCAATATCAATTCCCGTTTATTTTAATTGGCTACATGACTAATTCTGTTTCAACACACCAATAAGTGCTACTGATTTTTCAGTGAAGCTGGTGATGAACTGGGTGATGTTTGAATTGTTTAGTCTGAAAGGACGAGCTTTTTAATTTATAGAGGACAGATTCAATTAGGGGAATTGCCTATTTGAGGAGTGAAAGATTGATACTTATCTGTCGAGATAATGACAGAAACGTGCTTCAACTCTTGTGGTTGTTAAACCATACTAAGTGACTTCTTGAATGGTTATTTTGCATGATTATTGCAAGAATCATTGCATTAAAGTGATAATGTACTTAGCATGAAATATTACATATTTTTTTCAAATAAAATAAAATGGTCCGAATTTCTGAAAGTATTATTTTTCTTTGTTATGATCTGACCTTTCATAAGGATTATATTACAAGTAATATTCTATACACAAAATAGTGACAAACACTTAAGCATTGAGTTCTAATTATGAATGATTTTCTTTAAACTTCCAGGCCATTTTTGAAAAGTGATAGTCAAACAAGTTATCTAAATTCTTGAAAGCCCTTCTGAAAGCCCTTTTACTTTCATTTCTGGTTACATACACAACACTAAGAGCTAAGAGCAAACAGAAACGTATGAATTAGATAATGCTTAGCTGCAGCTTTCCTATAGCCTTGACTACAGAATGATTTACTAATGAACGTTTCTGTACACTCATATTATCTGGCTGAATGACCCTATAGAAAATTATTCACAAGTCGCAAAACATATGACAATAACTCTTGTTCTCCATAAAAATTTAATGGGGATTTAGTTTCTCATGTAGCACCCCTCCCCCCTTTTGAAGTTTAGTTTGTCTGTATGGTACATGTACTAACATTTCCTAAATGTGCTACTGCAGAAATATGAGAATTGCTGTCTCACTGGATATAATAAACGGAAATCACGAGGCAACCTCCTCATTTCCGGTGTGGCACATAATGAAAAATGTGTGGAAAGTTTGAATCCCTCAATACAGTTACTCATTGTGTACAAGCATCAGCTAGCTATCATTCTACAGGAAAACCAATATTGATTTGAGTCGTTAATTATCATTGATTAGCTAACGTGAGGCAGGCACGGAGGAGGCCCAACAGGAGTAAGGATATACATTGTGATTCCAGTTTAAAGATTTATCGTATTGTTTGTTGGGGTTAGCATAATTGCCTCCCAGTTTGCGATATTACAGCGCTTTGCACGCGGTGTAGCAGAATGTCCAGCGTTTGTGAGTCTATTGTCATGATCCAGCCACACTGGAGCCAATTTAATCTTCACCTTTTGTTCATTGCATTAAGGTTGGTATATCTTAATTGCAGTATCCCTGATGATAGAGTATTATGTATTTATGAAATATCATAAGAGGAAAATCAGTGAAGTGAAGGTGAGGGCATTAACAGCATTATTTCAATTTCCTTTTTGATGGAACAACAGAACAAAAAGAATATTTCATTCCACTTTACCATGAACATTCATATTTTTTCTTCTTTTTTGTTAACTCTTGTACAAATTATCCATTAGAAAAAATTTCATAGAAAAATAATCAACAAAATATACGTTGAAATGTTTAAAAAGCAGAACTTTCATTAAAGGCATCAGATGATGACAAGATAGGCCTGTATGAACATAATTTTCCAAGAGAATTCAATGATAGGTCCATTTGACTCAATAGTGAATAACCAAGGAATATAACAGCCATGTAGTTTTGATCAAGTATTTACGTCACAACAAAGTTATATCACACTTTACAGTAATATCTAAAAACTTGTTAAAACACAATCCTTTTTGTCTGTCTGTATCTGGAGAGTTCTAAAAGAAGGAAATATAATAAGATTACCAGAGTACTAACTGACTGTTAATTATCAGCCATCTATCCACACACAGCCATAGATTTCACTACCTGACATGCCATATTGATTTCTTACACACTAATTAGATTCCATTGTTTTAAGGGACAACCTGCCACAGACGAATAAAAAGAATTTATAGTGAGGATAATTTTGTCTGCTGAGAGCGAAAAGGGCACTAATGCTATGTATGAGTTATGCCCTTCTGTTTCATAACAGTGAGACAGTGTTTTTCAGTATCTGGTATTAGATGAAAATAAGATGGAAATATGCTGGAATTGGAAGATAGTACCAACTCAAGAGGGTTTTTTCTCTCTAAAGGTAGAAACTATTGAAAGAAACTCATGGTCTTCCAGAAATTCAACTCTTCAGAATTTATAGTGAGGATAATTTCATCTGCTGAGAGCAAGAAAAAGGGGGCTCACCTTGATGAAGAATTGATAGTTGGCATATCATGATGAGAACAGTTATGAGAAATAAAAATGCAATTTACAGAAATTTGCTTTTTCATCAAAAGAAGATTAAAGAAGAGATGAAATGAGGCTGTCTGATGTCAATATTTCTTGCTTTTAGATATTCATAGTGGAAACAACTCTATTCTGTTATTATTAAATGATCTTCATTAGATGTGAATATACAAAGTACAAGAAAGTTGTAAAAATAAGAGTGTTTTTACTCTCTGTATGTGTCTTTCTTAAACAAAGTTGCTCTTGATGTTTACTATAAGCTAAATTAAAGCTTACCCAACATAGCAACAACTTGGGTATGCTTCTGGTGTTTTCTATCCATAATAATGCTATGATATATTACAAGTACATTAGAAATGCCAAAGGAAAAAAAACTATAAATATGAGCACATCCTTGCTCTGAGGATGATCTACTTACTGTGAGTTAAGCACTAAAAGATACCATTTATTCTGAGAAGAAAAATTAAGCCTAGTATGAAAATATTGCTCTTATCCATGATTCATAATACATATTCATTTATATATTTATTTTCAGTATTTTTAAAAAAGTTTCTATTTCTCATAATACTTGCTACTATATTATGTTGCTCTTTTATAAAGCTGTATTCAATTTTCATCAAATTTTGGTTTTCTACAACAATGACCTGACAAGACCTTTGCTTAATCTCTCCTTCATGACTGTATGTGTTGACAATGTAATGTCTTATCTGTTTATTGCAAACAAGGCTTGATGCACTCACATTAAAGCTCAATGACTCATAAAGCTCTTAATTACTCTAGCCCTTCAATTAAGGCGACTACTTTGTATTGTATTTGATAAAGGTTACTTGTGAGCCTTAAATTGTGAGGATAATTGGGCTTTGATTAAAAAACCTTGTACATTGGTGTTGCTGATACATTGTAGTGGTAATTATTTCACTGGAATCTGAAGTCTTACATCTGCATCAGTGGGCATTTCCTCTTTGTCACATAATCCTTTGATGGATTATGATACCAAGTGCTTCATTCTTTTCTTGAATCTTTGCAATAATAGACAAACTATGGTTTAAAATTGAATACACTTTAATGATATGGTGGCCACAACACTAAGGGAGTATTGCGGAGGTTGTTTTGAATGTTTTCACGTTCGTCTTTTTGGAAAAAAATTTGTTAGTAGAATCACCCCCCCCCCCCCCCCAAAAAAAAAAAAAAAAAAAAAAGTAGCATGTCTGCCACTGGATCTCAGTACATCTTGGCTCCTGAGAATGTGACAGGCAGATCAAAACAACTTACCATTGTTTAATGGAAATAGGGCAATAAAATTGAATTACTAGTTCATATTGGAACTAAGAAATTCACCACCCACCCCTTGCCACAAAATCAAGGAGTGAATCGGGTCGGTTTTCAATTTAAGCAGGAAGGAAAAAAACCTGTCTTCAGATTGTCCAACTAGATCAGGTGGAAAATGTGGGGCAATGAGGGGCAGTGAGGTACAGTGAGGGGGAAAATAGCTGTTCTGACAGGCAATACCAGATTCAATATACTCCTCCTATTAACATAGGACATGCAAGGTTTGCTACTGTACGGTATTGCTCAGCTGACCCAATAGTTGATTTAATTAATTAAATATCACAATACATGTGTATCTCTTTTATTATTCATAGGATACATAATATTTCTTACTCTATACATCTAAATTGATTGCTGTGATTCAGAAAAAGATTGCTTTTCTCTTTCTTCTTCCATTTTTCTATATATTCTTTTATTCTTTTTGATATCCCCCCCCCCCCCCCCGCTTCGTCTGTAAGTATATGTGTGACTCTACCAGTAGTATGTCTGTCTGTCTGTCTGTCTGTCTGTCTATCTTTCCCTTCTGAGTCTATTTTCTCTTATTCCTATCTGCTTTCCTATTTGCGTGTCTCCCCCATCTCTCTTTTCTCTCTATTCCAATATGTGCGTCTCCCCGCCCCTCTCTCTCTCTCTCTCTCTCTCTACCATCTTGGTATGTGCCTGAATACAGCATAACCACAACACTATTTCAACCTACTACTCCAAGACAAAAATAAGAATGGAACTCACATCTCTGAGATTGCCTCTGAAGTTCTGTGACACCTCTCTGTATCCAGGTACCAGCTCTGGATTGGCTGCACCCCCTACCAGAAACTCCCTGGTGGCCCCGAGGCGCATGAAATCCCCCTCTGTGTTCCCAGTTGCCATGATACTCTCATCCACTCTTATTGTTACCTGTAAAGATGATACATAATAGTTTGTCATAATCTCTTTATATGGGTAATTAAAAGAAAAATGTGGTCGAGGGAAATAATGGTAATTTAAAAATAATCAGGTTCAAAATATGCAATACAGAAAGATTTTTTAACGTTTGTTGAGGACCAGAAGGGAATTATCTCTGTGTAAAATAACATGTAAAGGCCCTTCTGCCCCTCACCACATAAACTTTATTAAAGAACAAATAACAACACATTATTCATTTAACACAAAGTTTCATGAAAAGACCTGACTGTCACCTCAATAAATGTCCTACAATACCATCATACCAATCATATCAATGAAAAATAATATCAGCAAATAGCAGAGCAAGTAATTTTAGTTCATGATGAATTAGAAAATAAAAATGATCCAATTAATCTGATCAAATACAATAATAAAAAGAAACAAATTAAATACACTTCAGAAAAAAAATGGAGGAAGTACTTTGTTTGTAAAGCTCAGTCAGATGTGTGATGCTAATGTTTCCTGTCAAAATGATGCTTCCAAAAAATTCTTGGAATAAATTTTAATTTAGAAGGTAGATTGGTGTCAATGTAACCACGTCCCTTCCAGCTGCCACGTCTAAAACACCTATCTACCCATCTACATCCTATAGCCTTATTTACACTTGATGAGTTAATCTGCCTTAAAATAGAAGCTGTGCTGCTGCAGCAATAAAACAAAATCCATTTACATTTAAGTAAATAGCATATGGAGGGGAGAAAAAGCTTGGTGCGACAAAGACCCGCAATAGTATCTCTGTATTTTTTGTATAGGACACAGAAACATAACGTGTGAAATGACTTTAGTTTGCTGCAAATATTTTTGTTAAAGGCAGTTTACTGTTGCAAGTGTGAATAGGGCTTTATACCAATTTATTAACAACATGACTTAAAGGACAACTTTTGAGTTTCTATGATTTATAAAGCCTTGTCAATCACATTCTTAAGCTTCTCTTAAACTCTTCAAATCGTTAAATAATTAGGTTTAAAAAATTATAATTCATGTGTTGTTTAAAAGTATTTCTTTCTGTAAGTTAAAAGATAATCTACCTCAAAAGAATTCATCAAAATATAAGTATAAAAAAGAAACTCCATATTTGCTAAAAACTGATAAAATACATAATCATCTCCAATTCAAATCTGCAATGTAATCATTAATCCATTTTCAAGGCAATTAAAAGGAAAATTTAACAATAGCATGGTATCTCTTTCAATAATTTTTTAATTTTTAATTCCTAACACTTCAGTGTAATCTTCAGAGTAGTGTTACTTCCATTTCGGTTCGCCAGATTCTTGATAAACATATTTTCCAAAACATCATATCCAATAAACATCTACAGACAGTCATCTCCCTTTTTTCAAAAGTTCACATATGACTAAAGGGCATAATATATCAACAATATCAATTTCAATCTACAACCAGCTAACTCATGAGGGTAATATCTGAATGGTCTTCCCTGTGAGTGAGCCTTTAACATTGCTTCTCTCGCTGATAATAGAGGATAGTGATGGGCGCCTCCCCGTCGTGCACCTGCTCTCAACGTGTGCCCAGATGTACCCCCACACTCACACTCGATAAAAACAGGGTGGCATGGCTAATATTCAATTACTCTCACAGATAGATAGCTTGACAAGACACTGATCAGCAAGATTATTCACATCCAATACTGACTAACTAAATCAATCTTTCTTTTCCCTTCATATCACCTTTCAAAATTGGATGCGGTTATGGAATTGGAAGATGGCTCAATTTTCTTTTGTTTTCAATATTCTATTCCAAGACTGGTTTAACTTTAGCATTTCATCCTATGGTTAATTAGATTACTGTCCTATTGCGAATTTGTACAGATATAAATTCCATCAAACCATCATTTTCATTTTTCATTTGTTTGTTGTTGTTTTCCTTATGTTTATGAAGTAATGTCTTTATCATCTTTTCATTGTCTTAACATCTTAATGTACTTGAAATCAATTAATGAGATTGCAATGTTCCCACATTTCAAGAGGCAGTTGGCTTGGCTTGGCTTTGCACTTCATTAAGAAAGTCTTCCGGAAAATAAATGTGTCCATATTGTGATAGAAAAGCAAAATGTTCTTTCTCTTACCTCTGTATTCTCCCTCGTAATCCTAACTTTATGCCACTCATTATCGATGAATCCACTTTGTCCTCTCCTGGCTGTGATAAACTCTCTATACTCTCCTGATCCGAGATTAATAGCTATCTCAATCCTGCCTCCATTCATAGCAGCGTAGATGTAGTCATACTCCTCCCCTACACTCAGGATCAGACCCGCTGGGGACTGGGTCCTGAACTCAAAGAGGACTTCATCACGATTATTGGAGATCTTCTTCTTGATGAGACTGTAGCTGATGTAGGTATTTCCATCAAAGGTAGCTGATGTGGCCGTTTTACCTGTATTACCAAGGAGAGGCAAAAGTTTTTATATCCACACTTTAAAGTATAGAAACTGACTTACATATGACATTGCATGACAGCATTCTCAAACGACAAGTGCTTCACAATCATTTTTTTTTCACCAACGACCAGATACCTCACTTCAGCCCTGGACCTAACACTAACTACTAACCCTAGATAAAATCTGAAACCCAGTCACAACCCTAACCCTCATCCTTTTACTTTGACCAGGGAGATGTCAGTTAACTGACATCTCCCTGCTTTGACCAAATGAAGCCAGGAGAGTACATATACAAATATTGTAGTAGGTTAATGTTCAGTTTAATGTGAAATGTTGAAACAGTTTCACTATTTGATCAAGTTCACCTATATTCTCAGAAATAAGAATATGAGGGCAAATACTACTAGCACTGTGAATTGTGCTTATCCCATGACAAAAAAAATGATTCTATATCAGTTTTGTAATGTACACAAATTCACAGTTTATACAAATATCAAAAGGCAAGAGATATAGCATGCAAATATGCAAATTATGTAAACTAAATATCTAATCAACAACAGATTCTTTCATCAAAAGGAAAAATAAGCACAATGACAGGTACAATATATTCAGACATAATCTACACATTGATCACATTCTGGTTTACCTCACAAACCCCAGAACAATGTCTTCAGGTTGAACAAAATCTCCTGGAGACAAGGTCTAAATTTAGCAGTCTTTGACAAATCTCTGCTCTTTAAAATTTAGACTGCTAGCATTACATAGGCGACAACAGTAAGCCCACGTAAGGGAATCTCTCTCTAAAACACAATCTATATCAATCTGACAGAAAGCGCTGCTACATGCTAAAAACAGAATGCATTTATAAACTAAACAAACAATACAGTTTAAATGCAAATCATATCCTCGGACATGCAACACCAACATGTTACAAGAATGCAAACGTTCCTGTGTGAAAAGCAGTGGATTGAATATAACTTCAGGTACTTTTTATGAGCTTATTGAGCTTCCAGTGACTTTATATTTCTTCTACTTTTTTTGATTTACCTAAGTATCACTTTTCCAAATTCAACATTTCAATTATATTTTGCTTAAATAAAAAAAGGATATAAATTTAGATTTTCAAAAAGAGTTTTGGTTTGGGTAAGAATATTTCATGAAATACAACACCATGAAGATATTTCCTTTCACCTTCAATACGTGTGTATTTCTATGAGGTTTAATAAGTTTCAACAACCAGAGGAACATTCTGATATTATCCCATGAATGTTTCCATAACGTTTCATAACGATATGAAGTAGATTAGCACTTTCATGCTATTTTCATGCTACCTTCTCAAGAATGAGATGAGACATTATTTTCAATCAGACTTTAACCCTCTCCATGCTCAATCATAAAAAGGGTGCATCTCCACCATGAGTGGTAGAATCCATCATCGATGAAGCAGGATGCAGTGCATTAATCACCTTCTACCAACATCATTTTCTCTGTATTACCAGGCAGCTTATCATGAATAGTTGATGTGGAAACAGAAAAGCAGCCCCTCATTTTGGGGCGAGCTGTTTGGATAACTGAAATGGGATATGGATTGAAGTCATAGACACCTCTTCCACTTCACCATGTGCATATCTCAACTCGGCAATTACGTCTGAAGTATGTACTTAGCATATCTCCCAACCTGCATCCACACATCGGTGCAGGAAAATGGAATTGATGGGTTTGGGAATTCTTCGACGCCTCTGTCTGGAAAAGTCAAAAAGCTCTCAAAATATCCATGTAATGAGTGGCTATCTGTTGTATAGTGAATCAGTAAAACAGTATAGTAGAGGCATGGCATGGCAAAAATAGGAGGACCTGCAGATATTCACTGCTGTACATCACAAATAAATACATTTATGGGACAAGCTATGAATCCATTGTTCTACTTACATAGGAGTGGTAGTGTTTTTTTAAAGAATTCTTTATTAAAACATGTATATTTTTAGAACAGGTGGGTCGATAGCCTTTATGATATCCCTGTCTCTGTAATGAACAGACTTGTTTATTAACTGATGAAGAGTATGATTCCACTGCTATTCCCATAAAATCCAATATACATGATGTATTCCCATGCATCATTTAAATGTACGTTCGATGCTTGTATGAACACTGTACCGATTTGCAATGCAAATGTAATTGGTTTCATTTTCGCATAGAACACTTCTCCTCCCTGGCTCCATCTATGCTAATTTTTTCCACTCATTATCCGTATGAGTTTGCTCCATTTATCGTACAGATATTTTCTTTTTCCCGGTCCCTTGATGGAGGAATTTGATGGCGTACTTGAACTTGAATCGAGGGATCGAGAGTTTACGCCCTGAGGCATCTTTCTCTGTACCGCCGCACCATACGCAGGTGCATGAAATGATATAGCCTCTAGCCACGGTGTACTAATGCATCCATAATATAGAAAGTGTTTCTTTCCAAAGAATCTAAAAGATGAGGAGAATACTGTATGAAAACTAAACAATAAACTGAAAATATGCCCATAATTGACACACCCCTTTTCAGTCTTTCAGGCTATCTTTATAAACAAAATCTCCATTCTAAGTTATATTCTACTTATTCTCTGAACATTTCTCACTTATAAATCTACAAACTGCTAGATGCACTAACTATATAACAAAATAAATGCTGATTGAAGGGAATAGTAAGACAGCATATACATTGTCCTTTTTACAAATCATTAATTTCACTGTTTGCTTAGGCATCTCTTGAAGTATTAGTTGAGCTCTCTGAATGAATATATTTAATAGACAAAGATACTTTTTATTTCAAAGAGCAATGCATCATCATATGTTTCATGAAAATGTCTGCTCTACAGAGGGCTTGATTTACGAGCATCCTCAAAGGCTACATTGAACTAATCTAATGAGAGCTAGAAGGACATTAACTCATGTAACGAGTCAATGTCCTTGTGGCTCTAACTTATGAACCATTTGGTTAAGAACAAACTATACCCTCTATCTATGACATTCTTTGATACATCTTACTGCCATCAAATGCCGACTGTCATATCCAAACACTTGACAACCCTTTCTGCTACCACTCTTCGAGAAACTGAAAACTATAACTGACATTTTACCGCAGAAATCTAGACTTATTCATCAGATTGCGGGCCTAATCTAGTCATTCTCCTGCTCACCGCCTCCTTCTCCCGACATCATCTCCATTATTCATGAAAACAGGGAGGTTTTGACGTCTCGAGTAGAGGCAATGGATCGGCTAGGTATAGGCCATGGCGCCAATGGTCCATTGCCGTACTTGATCTGCCTTAGGCTTCGAGATGCAAAGATTATTCTCTCCACTCTTTTAAACTCTGCTGTTTCATTTACTGGCTATCAAGTTCTCTTCAGAGTGACCATGACTTGCAGCTATGTGTAATGCTCAGTTCTATAACCAAACAAACCCTCAAAATATGGGCTTCGGTAAGCAAATGTTTACAGCGGATATCATATTCTAGCAATGAGAGAAAATGAATTTCCAAAGAATAAAACAAAAATCAATCAAACAAAATTATTTGCAATTGCGATTAATGTATATTATGACTTTGCTAGTCCAAACAACCCATCTCATGCATGATAAACAAATCAAATAAAGCTTTCACTTAAGAAGGAAGTTCTTGTAAGGACATGATGTCTAACAGTTTTCACTGTTAAAAACCCTCAAGCTTTTAAGTGATAAGACCCTATGTTATATCACTGCATTTTTCTCCTATTTAAATCTTTACTGCTCAAATCTTAAAGAGAATATGCTCAGAGGATCATAACACAATATGCATATTTAATCAATCAATTCAATGTTTATCCACCCAGGGAATAGAATGTGAAATTTGAAGAAGGTTTGTCAGTAAAGACCACTAAACCAAAGCTAAGGATTATTGCATGCTCATGGCCCTCGCTCGAGGGTGTTTGTCAAACGAACTAACAAAAAGTGGTCACATGACATGGGTCTAGGGTGACAGATGTTCGTTGTGACGACGATCAAACACCATGTTTGCGCAACTCGTCTCTTGCCAATTTAAACACACACTCTATCATAATTATCGTCCGCGGCTAAATCATTTTAACGATTGCGTGATTGTGCAACATTTCATGGGGGTGTAAACAAACCAGTCAATCACACACAGGTGCAATATGCTCCTAATTAGTCAACATGAAATCATGTGATGGAATGCTGGATACTCCTTTTATATTCCATACATCATACCTATCTGAAGCTTAAAGAAAGACATTCCTGACACTAATTATGTATTACAAATGCTTCACATTTTCTCAAATGTACATAGTAGCTCCATCATAATTCATTATGGAAATGGTGCAATTACAATTACCAGTACCAATATGTTGCCTCTTTGAACTGATTACACAATAACCATTTATGTCAACATCCCTTCTCCTTATATGAATACAGACATCCTACGTCAATAATCCATCATGCAGCTAGTTTGTTTTATCTGATATTAAGTCAGTTTTGAGATCCCTTTGAATCCATAACGAAATCCCCAGACTAAAACCAGTGCGTGATGCAAATGATAAATAAAACATAGAACAGAGGTGTGATCAGATTTGAGTCAGAACACGACTACAAACCACCTACTGCTTTTGGGATGGCCAGGCCAGGAATAAATTGAAGGGATGAGATAAAGATGGCAGTGATAAATCAATACTTTGTTTGGGAGTAGCTTCTGGCATGAGACTGTAATAACAATGCTAGCAGGGGAGGGGCCGGGTTAGATGGAGAATAATGGGGCAGGAAAGAAGCTGGAATAAACAGTGGAGACTTTGTTTAACCGATCCCTTCAGGTCATCTGTAGACTCACCTGATAACCCTTCAGTCTCCATTATCAAACAACTCAGTCTTACTTAACATCTTCTTCTTCTCCAAATGAAAAGCTGCTTTAGCCCATGTGAATGATAAGGGCAGGAACATTAGCAGACTTACCCTCAAAGAGTAG